CACTGTGGCTGAAACCGTCTAGCCCACTTGTCTGGAGGGCAGCCTGCGTGTGGGTCACTGTGGCAGTGGCTTGCTCCTTGCTCCCTGGTTAGTTGCCCTGTTCATGCTTAGGTTAGGTAGTTGGTCGCTCCATCATTTTGGCTTAGAGATTCTGGGCAAGAACTTTACCAAGGTGAGCTTGGGCGCTTCTCGTGCCACCAGCTCTGGAGGCCCAGGCTGCTGTCACAGGGAAGGCTGTGATCTCAAACTCCGCATAGCAGGAGGAGGCATCTCCTCCTGTGTATGACGTTATCAGGGGACCTTCTGTGGAGAAGGCTGCATCACCCACATTCAGGGACCTTCTCCTGTGACTCCTGTGGGTCTTTTGCTCATTTTTCAATCAGTTTGTGTTTTGTATTTTTCCCTTGACTTTTAAGAGTTCTTCAAATTTTTAAGATTAATTATCTGTGATATATGTTGTAGTTATTTTCAACCGCTTTGACATTTGTCTTTTGATTTTGCCATGCCAAAGTTTAAAAAAAGTTATAGTTGACTTACTCTTTAAAGATTGTGTTTGGGTTTTGAGTCACAGTTTATTTTTCCATATGAACTTTAGAATCACCTTGTCTCGTCGGGGCTGGGCGGGGCGGGCAGCTCCAGGCCATCGGACGGGGCCAGGACTGTCTGCGCTTCTCCTTGGAGAGGACGTGTGGCCTTATGGTGCTGAGTCATGCTCTCCGGAAACCAGCGGGGTCTTTTCATGGACACACAGCTTTTGTTCGTTTCCTTAAGGAATGTCTTACAGTTTTTCTCTTACAGAGTGTGCACATTTGTGAAAGGCCATTCATCAGGTTCCCTTGCTGCGCTGTAAGCGGAACCTTCTCTTCGGCCGGACGATCGTAGGTGTCTGTGGCGGCTGTGATTCTGGATGTTCATCTCCTGGACTCTCTGGTTGTTGGCTCCATTTTCTCCTGGCTTCTCAGCTCTTCCAGGTGTGCTGTGGCGTTGTAGGCAGATGCAGGGAGCTCGGGCCTCCGTTCCCGTCCCTGTGGCTCCACTGCTTTCCCTTTCGGACCTCACTCCCTCCTCCCTGGGATGTGAGGGTGAATGGCACCAGGCGTCACGGGCACCTTTTCTGCGTCCCAGGAAATGACCGGGTTTGCCTGGGAAGAGGTGTCAGTGTGTGGGGGGGATGCTTCTGATCCACGTCTCGTATGGGACTCAGCATTGTTGCTATTAAACAGGAAGTGATAACAGTGAACACACAAAGCTTTCCACGCCTAAGGCTTGAGCATTGAACTGTGCCGTAAGTGAGGAACTTTGAAGGGTTATATAAATCCACAAATTATTGAATGCGATACAGAAAAAAAATCCAGACAAACAGTAAGGTAAGGAAATGCCAAGAGTTTGAAAACATAAATGGAGTACACATTTGAAGAGCTCTCTGGAGAGGGAGGGCAGGTTGACTGCAGAGCAGTGTCAGGAACAGGCTGATTCGTACGGTTTAACAGTCCATTGTAAGATAGTTTGTTAACTGTTGGGGTAAAGTTTTAAATTGGAGTCTTATTGCAGACATTATACCAAAACAAAATCTCAGTGGGGAAAAATTAGGTTTCATTTTCTGGAGACGGTCTTGCTCTGTGGCCCAGGCTGGAGTGCAGTGGTGCGATCTCGGCTCACTGCAACCTCTGCCTCCCGGGTTCAAGTGATTCTCCTGCCTCAGCCTCCTGAGTAGCTGAGACTACAGGTGCACACCACAGCCAGCTATTTTTAGTAGAGATGGGGCCTCACGATGTTGGCCAGGCTGGTCGTGCCTTCCTAATCCCAGGTGATTTGCCTGCCTTGGCCTCCCAAAGTGCTAGGACCACAGGCATGAGCCACCATGCCTGGCTGTAAATGTTTAAAATAATATTTATTTTATTTTATGATACAGGTGTGTATAACGTGGTGTATAACAGGTGTCATAACGTGGGGCACACGTGTGACTCTATGCTGTATAACAGGTGACCGCAGACGTCGTGGTTTAAAGCAAGCATCTGCGTGTTGTTTCATGCTTCTGTAGGGTGGACATCGGGGCTCAGCTGCTGGGTCCACTGCTCAGGTATCCATGGCTGCAGTCAGGTTGTGTGTTCTCAGGGGGCTGCATTGTCATCTGGAGGCCCAGCTGGGCAGGGCCTGCCTTCAGACCACTGCAGGGACTTGGCAGATATCCTTCCCCTGTGCTTGCAGGACTCGTGGCTTCTTGCTGCGCCAGAGCCGTGAGAAAGAGACTGCCCTCTGCTTATGGCCTCAGACCTTTAGACTTACTCGGAAGTGGCTCGTTGATAAGACCAGACCCACCCAGGACTAGCCCCCTTTTGATTAACTTCAGATCAACTGGAGATGGTGCTTCCTTACTCTGCCAGTCCCTTTCACCTTTGCCTCATAGCCTAGGTGTGGGAGTGCCGCCTTGCCTGGTTCATAGGTCCCGCCTGCACTGAGGGTGAGGATTACTCGGGGTGGGAATGCCGGGGCGTGGGGGGCCCTGCGGACCTGCTGGAGTCCTGCGTTACAATTTTATGACAAATGGCTGTTGACTTTAATCGAAGAACTTTTCAGTAAACTTAAGAAGAATTAACCTTCACTTACTCCATCATTCTTCCTTTCCTATAGTACATCCGGAATTTTGACTTGTATCATTTTTCCTCCCTGAAACATGACTTACACGGCACACCTACTTTTTTGCGTGAGAAAGTTTATTTTTCTTTCACTTTTGAAGGATGACTGCTGCACACATGATTGGAGGGTGCGTTTTTCATTCCACTCTGTCCTTGCTAGTGTGGTTTCTGTTGACAGGTTCACTCAATTCTTGTCCTTGTTCCTCTGTAGCTAAGATGTATTTTTTTCTTGCTTCCTTTCAAGGTTTTCTATGTCTATGATTTTCTACAATTGGGATATGATGGGCATAGGTATAGATGGTTTGTCATTTATCCTGCTTGATAGTCTCTGGGCTTCATGGATCGGTGGTTCGGTGTCTGCACTAATTTCGGAAATTTTCGTAGTTCTTATATGTTGCAACCGTAACTGAAATTCTTTAGTTAACTTTGCCAGGAACTATAATCATTTGACTTTTTTTAGAACTGTTGGTATGATCCATTGTATTAGTGGTTTTCCTAACAGTGAATCACCATGTATGTGTAGAATAGTCCGCCGGCTCACTCTGTGTGATAACAGTGAATCCTCATGTACATATAGAATAGTCCACCTGC